GCTGCATCTATTTTACATTTTCCAAGCAAAATAGAAACAAAAGACTCGACCCTGTGAGGTACAGCACTGTGCAAAAGTCTTAAGTTTTTAGTTTCTGGCCCAAACTACCAGTATTGTTACTCCTGCTCTTCAGTTTTGAAATGCTTCGATGACAGCCCAAGTTTGGAAACTTCAGTGTTGCAGTGAACACCAGCATCTGTCGTCACTGTGATTTATATAATAATATTATTGTCTCTAAATGACAGGATGAAACCTGATGTCAACCACATTGTCGTTAACAGGGGTCTGTGGATCTGAAGTTTAGTTACACAGATTCACTGCAGGAAGCACATCACCTCCACTGAATGTAGCCAGAGCCGATCTGCACATGCGACAAGTTTTATTTATACCAGTTTTAGACAAAAATATCCATAAAGCCCCAGAAACTAAGAAGTCTCCAATCTGAAATAAAACACTTTTGTTCTCTAGTTTTTCTTAAAGCAAAGCTGAGTTTTCCCCCTGAAACACAGCCACTCTGCTAATGCGTGCTGATTGGTCGGTTAAGGACAGACTCAGTGGCGTCCAGCTCCAAATGACACATTAGAAGGTAAACCGCAGCAGAAACTTTGCGTGTAGAAGAGATGTCTGATTGTTGTGCTGCTTGCTTCACGCTCAAAATAAAAATGGAGGATGCCCCAAAGCAGCTTGTGGTGCTGCGACGTCCTGTATACTCACAGAAATGCATTTAAAATCCAGGTGTTTGGAACTTTGTACGCTCTCCTCACCCAGAACAAAAGAGTTTATCCACCGGATTTACATTTTTCAGCTCCACAGAGTCCCATTCTGGACTACCGCAAATGTTTCCATGACACAGGAAGTCCAGCGTGCTGAAGTGATCCGTTAGCGGCTGTCTGACTTTGACTGACCACCATCAGTTTGAGTGAGCTGCTAAGAGTCCCAGGAAGGAGATGCCAATCTTAAGTATCAGTTGAGGAAGTTCAGCTCACCTGCAGATCAGATGACCTCAGAGCCCACCCACATCAGGTTCAGCTGACACCAATAACTGTGCAAACCGCTTTGCAACCTACCTCCACCACAGCTCCTCATTTCATCCGCTGCCTGACTTGATCAGTGTCACAGAAATGGATGGAAATAATCTCATGAGCAACAAATCTCAACCGTCTCAATCTGAAAGTATTTACAGGAGCTTTTGTTGTGCATCTGAAAGCCACTCGGCAACCCCACCCCTTCTTCTTATTTGATACCGGCTCTGTTCTGTTGTGGTTTCCTGTTGCTTCTTGGAGAGCGTCACGGTGGTCGAAAGTTATTTTTTATGTTATTCACGATGTTTGATCATCTCATCCATACAGACATATTGAGTTATAAGAGCTGACGGGGATTCATCGCAGGTACATTGAATGAAATGACACGAAGGTTGAATCACCTGTGAGGCCCTCAGCTGAACTCCTTCCAGGTGGACATAGACGCCTCCGTCGCTCCTCTCAAACCTTCGATCTATTAGGTGCAGATGTGAAGCTGAGTGGCGCCTTGACGACAGGGCGTCTCTGGATTGGTTGCTGGGTCTGTCATCTCGGTTCTTATCTGACGTGTCCGATGTTTTGCTTGGATGACCGTAGCCAGCTGTGAGGTCACTCGGGTCTGGACCTCACTCATCTTTTTTCAAAACAAAAGACATAAAAATCATCATGAATCAACATGCGATGCTCTAGATCACTTTTACTTTGAAAAGCCTCTACAAAATTCTGCGACGGCCCGCCCTAGATGCCTCTGATTGGGTAGAGTTTAGGTTGATGCACGACTCACGAGGAACAATAATTGATTTTTGTTTCATATTATAGTTTTATACACACAACCTGCAAAATGAAACCTGATTCGTTTCTAAAACCTGGTTATAGCTCAACACCTGGACAGGTTGGGACATGTTTGTGAGTTTGACCGATACTGTGTGTCAATGAGGATGTTACGCTTGGAGAAGAATCTTCAAGGACATGTTTGCGAGTGGTTGCCCCGTCGTCCTGTCCTGTGAGTCACTGAGGACGCTGTGCTCGGATAGGAATGACTCACAGGAGACCAGACACAGATACAGGCCACAAAAACACAGCTACACCAAATGGAGAAAGGACTCTTTCAAAGAAACTGTTTCACATTATGGACGTAAAAGTCAGGCTCTTTGAGAGAAAAGCTCAACTTGCATGCAGACCTCCATCTGCTGCAGGTTGAATAGCCAGAATTTTAAGTTGCAGTCAACGTCTCCAGTCCGATCCTGTGATTCTGGAACAAAACTGACTGCAGTTTTGGTTTGAGGAGACCGAACCTGTTTGAACTCCCACTATCCCAGCCACTGACAAAATATCCCAGCAGTCAGTGTAAAACTTCAAATTTTCTTTTGAGCTTAAAACGTAATCAAATGAAAACGTCTCTTTTTTATTGTTCTAATCTTTTAACTTTATGCATCAAGCAAAAATAAATTCTATGCCTCTTGAAGACATTTGTTTAACATTTAAACCTATTTTCTGCACATTCCAGCTCATAAAATAAAATATTTTTTGTGTTTACGCTCACAAATAGATGCAAGTGAAACGTGAAACACAGCAGAAAATAAATAAAATCAAAGACTTTGTGCTCCTGTTGCTCTATTGTGCTCACAGCAGTC